CCTCGCCATTCGCCACTCAGTGACGGTGACGTCACCATCGCGCCCGTGCCAGGCCAGGTGCACTTTGAGGCCACGTGAAGTGTCGACGGCTCACTCGCTAACACTCACTCACACTCACTCACGCGTTCTCTCTTATCCATGCTCCACCCAGGCGCCAAGGGAGCTTCCTTCTCAGATCCGTCGTTCAGTTCAAATGGGGGCAGCAATGGGGAGACAAAGGCGGCCGGACTTGTTCCAGCCATACCACGCGCTCGTGTGTTGTGACGAACTGCACAGTCCTGAATTAGCACTTGCCTACCAGTCTATGTTCGGCTATACAGCGGATCTTTGTCTTGGGACGTGCCTATGTGTACCCGTGTGGACGCAGCGATCATGTCTGTGATGCCGTGCACGTGTGAATGTTCAGTCCTTTTATCAATCCACTGCTGGATGAAGGTGCTCCCATCCCCGTGGGGGTCGCGGGGGTTATTTGGCCATACCTGGCCAGTGCGAATTGGTGAAGGCGGGGAGCATGGGACGTGGGAGCCTAGACGTGCAGTATAACAATTGATTCTACTGCACTTTGCTGTCCATGCCTGTGTCCTGGGGTTGGTTACCCTGACAGCCACTGCCCAGGCGCAGACCCCTGCTGGGCTTTTTGAGATCCGACGAGACGGTGCGACTGTTGATGCCAACACAGAGTCCAAATATATCCATGAAACCCCGTTAATTGAAACTCAGAAATTCATTTGCGGAATATTCGGTGTTTCGCGACTCCACTCGTAATCCGCGCTGGATTTAATGAAGCCAGCCTTTGATTAAAAAAAAAACTGTTTTTAATAAACTGCGATGCCACCCACGGCCCGGCTACCGCAGATAACCCCCATTGTCTCCCACCCGTCTCCTTTACTGCACAAGACAAAAGACATCTCGCGTGGGCCGCTGGGCGCTGTCACGCGGGAGGACCCTTTTTTTCCAGCCGAGGCAAATTGATAATCGATTGAAGGCATTAACGTGGGATGGCTGGCTCGGGCTCGGCTGCCAATCACGGTGGGGGGGGGGGGTGTCAGAACTTCACTCCAAGTAAAGCCCCTGTCGGGTTAAGGGCTTTTGGGAATGGGTAATATTTAACTGTTACCTTTTAACAGGACAATGTTTTTTTTCGTTGCATCGCCCGAGAGGAAACATTAGGGTAGAGATGATATCTGTCGAGTTCCGCGTGGAGGAAATCGTTTCGGAGGTGCGGGGGTTGTGGGTGGGTGGGGGGTGGCGGTTGAGGGAGCAGCAATCATCATTAAGATCGTAATCTCACTCGTGAGCTTCACAAGTCAGATTGACATTATGTCGCCGTTGTTGATGTTGCTGAGAAGTGTTTGCAAACCCGCTGAGTTCGAACCCCGGACGCGGCTAACGTCAGCAGCAAGCGCGTGGCCAGTTAAGCGAATGTTTGTGTGCGTGCGCGTACGTTGAACTTCTTTCGCACCGTACGTAGCCATCCCTGCTCATCGGAGGTGCTGGGGAAGGACATCACATGCCAGGGCCTGTGTGGTGAATAAACAGGAGCTTTCCACCAGCAACGTGGGGCCGGTTCAGTGCAGTACAGCAACTTGGTTCTCACTTATTTCACTATCTATTTACTCTCGCCTCTCTCTGTATCTCGTCTCCTCCCTCCCTCGCTCCCACCTAGTCTCCTTTTACTCTTTCACTCTCCCTTCACTCTCCTTTTCCCCCTCTCTCTCTGTCTGACCTCTCTCTTGCCCCTCTCGTTCTCTCTTCCTCCTTCTTCTTAACATCTCCCCCGCCCGCTCTCTCTTCTCTCTCCCCGCGCCCAGCTTCCCTTCCATCCCTTCTTCTCAACTCTGTCTCTCTCTCTCTCTCCCCTCCTAACACGCGCACACACACACACGCGCACACACACAGAGGGGGGTGGCGCGTGTGCTGTGGGGGTTGCATTGCAAGTCGCGGTAATGGGAAACGCTCATTGATCTGCTCTAATAAGCTCAAATGAGCTGTCACAACAACAACAACAACGACGACAACCGCATCAACAACAACAGCAACAACCACATCATGCACAACAACAGCAACCACATCATGCGCCACAACAACGACTCCGTTCCCCATTACTGCGGACATGTCCGCCCGCGTCTCCGCCTCCCACCTCCACCTCTCCATCAGCGAGCCCCGATTCTGTGCCGGCATTAGCCAGGGGGGCGGTGCCGACGGTGATGCAGTGGTCAGCACAATGCAGGGGTCGCCGGTTCCATCTCCCGGCCCGCCAGTTAATATAATGGTGCAAATTAATTCAACCCCCCCCCCCACCGCCGCCCCACGGCTTCTGTGCAGCCAGCGAGCGATATGAATGAGTAACACCAGGGTGAGTCGATGGGCAGGTCGCGTGCGGTGGGGTATACTCTCTTCCAGCCCGTCTGGCCAGCGTGCAGGAGGAGGAGGCCACACGTGCCGTTCACGCTCTCAAGGTGAAGGTTCCCGTGGAGGCCCTTCCGTCAGCAGCGGCGTGAGCAGGACATTGCAGGGCTGGGGGTGGCACGTGCTCCCCCAATGATCCGATCGAAATCCCTAATTTCGATCGGATCATTGGGGTTTATTAGTAATAAATCGGCATTTTGCGACCCCCATTGCCACTGTGTAGCATATTATTACGTGCCAGGGACTCTATTAGATGATTGGACAATAGTCTGAGTCCATAATTGGCAATAAGTCACGACAAAGCGGTTATATCCAGTCCGCGTCTTCCCTGAAGGCATTCACCTTCAGCGAGCGCGATGCCGATCACACGACGCGGTTCGAATTCGACCCTTGATCGATGGCTGCGCCATCGCCGCACACGCGTTTAATAAAAAGCAAGGGACAAGTCCTTACTTACTAGCAAGTCCTTACTAACAACTCCTTACTCACTAACAACTCCTTACTTACTAACAACTCCTTACTCATAACAACTCCTTACTTACACTATGGGAACCTCATTTGCCAGTAAAAATATGATAATTAGTTTTTACCCTTCTATCTGCGTTTTTTGGCGTCATCTGGTCCAACCCATGTGATACTAGGCTCTAAGGAAAGCTGTCTCGGGTGTGGACCAATCAACTTCAAGGACAGTGCATATTATCAGAGTTATGTCTTTTGTTTGTATTATGACTGCAGGTATTGCGGTTTATGCAAACATGACTCCTTGTAAAAAGGTATCAGTTTAGTTGCCAGATAGAAGGGTAAAAAAACAACTATCAACTCCTTACTTACTAACAAGTCCTTACTAACAACTCCTTACTCACTAACAACTCCTTACTTACTAATAAGTCCTCACTTACTAACAACTCCTATATCATTCTTCATTGCTGGAGGGGTTGCCCCCCCTACCTGAAAATCCTGGCTCCGCCGTTGGGGCTCCACCTTTACCTTTGCAGCGAACATGTTACGATAATTGACGACCCTTTGCTCATCCGCTTCTGGACGAGGGCCTCCACGAGCCGTGTTGGTCGTGGGAGTTATTTGAAGACACTTCATCATCATCATTATTATCAGCAGCAGCAGACAAACAGACGATATCAATCACAGCGCCTTCGCCGCTTCTGGTTGGGGAGGTTCGCGGTTCGATTCTAAAAAAGAGCAATAATTTAATAACTTTCACTTCTCAAGCGCGTATCGCCCAGAGATCACAAGGGCGCTGCGCAGAGCCAAACGCGAGTAAGAAAATAACTCAACGCGATTCTAACACCTGATATAATCACGCGTGCTCACGGTTTGACACATCGTGACACTGACGCGCCGCCTGCTTCACGGGAGACGTTCAAGATCTCGTGACGTTGATCGCAAGAGTAGCAGCCCCCCCACCCACCCACCACCTACCACTGCGGTCCAAATGTGCCCCACCTCCGCAAAAGTATCCCCGCCATGGTCCTGTACGCAGCGATCCTCACCCGCGACGGCGCGGACGCAATGGGCACGACCCTCCTGAGAGCGAGTCGTGAGACTCAGCGAGGCTCCCATGGGTAAGCGAGTGGAAGTGCGGGGTGCTTCAAAAACATGTGAACACTTCCGAGAATTTGCAACGACGCCACGAGGCATGTGCCGCTTCCGGGCTCTGGAGACCACCTGGAGAAGATTCCAGGCCACGTGTTGACAACGACGGCGAACAAGTGGGAGATTCTTTGACTTTTTGAAGCTGTTAACGTGACATTTGTTATCACGTTACCGTGTATTATCCGTTATTTTCCCATTAAAAACGATAGCACCATATAAGTGTTTTAAAAAATGTTGAAGCACACTGGATAATCCACATTTTTTGTTTCTCTCAAAACAATAAACCACAGCACCCAGCGAAGCAGCGTTCACGATGATTTTATTTGGCGTTTCGCAGGCACACGACGATGACACGCGCGTCATACGTACGTCATATGAGTACATACACCATACACATAAGTACATACATGATACATACATGTAAGTACACGAGTGCTGTACAGACACGCGCCGAGGAGCCGCGGTCACTTGTGCTTGGGGTAGCGACACGGGGAGGGGGTGGGGGAGGAGGGGTGAGTGAGGAGGGGGAGGGGGTGGGGGAGGAGGGGTGAGTGAGGAGGGGGAGGGGGTGGGGGAGGAGGGGTGAGTGAGGAGGGGTGAGGTAGGGGAGGGGTGAGGAAGGGGAGGGGTGAGGGAGGGGAGGGGTGAGGTAGGGGAGGGGTGAGGTAGGGGAGGGGTGGGGTAGGGGAGGGGTGAGGGAGGAAGGGTGAGGGAGGGGAGGGGTGAGGTAGGGGAGGGGTGAGGGAGGAGGGGTGAGGTAGGGGAGGGGTGAGTGAGGAGGGGTGAGTGAGGAGGGGGAGGGGGTCGGGGAGGAGGGGTGAGTGAGGAGGGGTGAGGTAGGGGAGGGGTGAGGAAGGGGAGGGGTGAGGGAGGGGAGGGGTGAGGTAGGGGAGGGGTGAGGTAGGGGAGGGGTGGGGTAGGGGAGGGGTGAGGGAGGAAGGGTGAGGGAGGGGAGGGGTGAGGTAGGGGAGGGGTGAGGTAGGGGAGGGGTGAGGTAGGGGAGGGGTGGGGTAGGGGAGGGGTGAGGGAGGAGGGGTGAGGTAGGGGAGGGGTGAGGGAGGGGAAGGGTGAGGAAGGGGAGGGGTGAGGGAGGAGGGGTGAGGGAGGAGGGGTGAGGGAGGGGCAGGGTGAGGAAGGGGAGGGGTGAGGGAGGAGGGGTGAGGGAGGAGGGGTGAGGTAGGGGAGGGGTGAGGGGTCGTGAGCGACTGTCCGCTCACAGAGGGACTCTGGATGATCAGAGTGCACACAGCGTGGCGTACGTGGCGGTGATTACCATGATGGTGGTGATTTATTAAGATTTTGATTTATGAATGATGACTATAATGATGAAGCTGGATTGATGTCGATGATGATGACGATGACTACGATGATTATTGAATTGATTATAACACGATTGGTGGATGATAACTATAATAATCATGACGATGATCTTGGTGATGGATGATTGAGAAGATGATTATGATGATCATAATTGATTAATAATGTTGACTACGATTATTGATGATGAGCGAGGATGATTGTGGATGAAAACAATCAATGGAATAGGATCATGGTGATGACGAAGACAATGTTGCGATGGAAGGTTATGATGATGGTACCTACAGCGCTAATCGATGGATGATGACGATTGGATGATGATGATGATGAGTTATGATCAAGATCACCGATAGATGATTATGTTGATGGTGACGACATTGATTATAACGACGACGATGCCATTTCTGATTAACGAGTGGCGATCTGATGGATCCAGTGATAACGAGGATGCTCTATTTGCCGCAGTGCGTGCTTCGTTAAGGCTGAGCCGAACAATTCAAATCGTCGTTTTGAGAATCTCAGTTTGTACAGAGCGGGTGGGTTACACGCCCACAGCGAGGTAACTCCAACAGGTAAGCCCCCCCCCCCCCTCCCCCCCCCCCCCATACGATTGTCAGTGTTCGTCTCGAGACTATGATCATTACAATTTACTCACTCACACGAAGCGTTAAACATTCATCTGTGAAGGAAGCGATTGATACGTCTGGTTATAATTTACACTTATTTATACTCGTGTGTAATATTTATATATGCGCGCACGCGTGTGTGTGTGTACGCGTCCCTGCAGGCCGCTCAATGAAGATCATTACACCCATTGATGCTCCACAGCTAGAGGCCTTCTCAAACAAAAATTAAGTTCTCGCGACCCACACCGTGTCGACCAAGTACATATATTGTTTTATTCAACTTCTGTACACGCTGCACGCGCCTGATGATGGGTACGCACGTGCCACGTACGCACGCGCGATTGCGTTACGTTACAGTGTGACGCACACGTGCAGACACGTTGGTTTTGTTGGACCAGGTGAGATCTCAAGAGACCAAGATAGGAGTCTCGTTTGCAAGCGCGAGCGAGGCGATTCGTCTGCTGCTAGTAGCGGCCGATTGATCGATACGCACGGTCCAGATTGAGTCATGTGCGGATTCATTTTAGAATTGGGCGAATTTGGACCCTGACACCGGACATCACAATGACACCGGACATCACAATGGCCTAACTCCTGCGAATGACCTCAAGGGATAAGCAGTAGATGGGGCGTAGTATCGTTGTGCGTTCTGATACAACGCAGTATTAACCAGGGCGGCCAACCCGATTCAAACCGTGACACCTCTGCAGCGAGCGGCGAACGGCGCCACCGCCACGAGACCACGTCACCGCCCCCGCCCCCCCGTCTGTCTCGCACGATCTCCGACTTGTTGGTGTTGTATACCAATCATCAGGTGCGTGCGGCGTGTAAAGGCGCACATTGTGGATTTTCCCCTGCACACTGAGAAACGTGCCTTTAAGAGTATTCGGCTGCTGTAAATGTCCACACGACGATGAGCCACTTCGTGGCGCTTTCATTTGTGATAGCCAAGTCGCTTCTGAGAAAGGAGCTATATTGCTCAGTGGGCCTTACCTGGTAAAGTATTTGAATAGATGTAATAGTTTGTCTTTGGAACGCTAATACGGCATACTGTGTGTATATATTTATATTAAGATGACGCGTTAACGTGTGGACCGTGGCCGGTCGCGAGGAGTGGAGTTGCGATACACAAAGAGCGGAGCCGAGGTGCAGAGCGCCACGGCACGAAGCCGACGTCGGCCGACGGAGACTTGCCTCGCGTTTCTCACCGCGCGTGAGATTCGCTGGATGAGGTGTGCGCTCACGATGCGTCGCCACGGTGAGGTTTGTGTGCTCGCAGGTGCAGCGATGAAGCGATTCGTCAGCGTGCAGATCAGAGGCATTTCTGATCAGTAGCAGCGTTGTTCTCGTGTTGGTATGTAAGTAAATAAATAATAAATATCCTCCGGCCCGCCGAGACTTCGCAAGTTGATACACCGGTGGCGAGCACACGAGAATTACTACCACCACCACGACGACTGGAATTAGCTACGGTAATACTTTAGGGTATAGAGCAAGTGCAGTGTGTGTCCCGGGGTAGTGGTTTCAAACATCATCGGCATCATCATCACCTTCATCACCTTCATCACCACCATCACACGATCCCACTCTAATCCTCTCGGGACCTCCACACATCAGCCGTCACTCTCTCGACCCTTCCACGAGGTCCCCACTGGCGAATGACCCTGGTGATGTCACAAGTAATTGACGCGATGACCAAATAATTTCTCGTAGTGAGAACTCATCACCTCTCCCTGGTGATGCAGCAGGTGATGACCCAGGCGATGGCTGAAGTGAAACCCCAGACGATGATGTCTCTAGAGATAAATCACCTGCCCTAGACGATGTCCCCAGTGATGTCACAGGTAAGTAGCCAGGTGACATCGCGAGCGATGACCAGGCGATCTCTCGCGTGAGCCATCGCCCGTCCCATCGCACGGTGTCTCACGCGATGACCCATGCGGCGGCTGAGGCGATGCCCCGAGCGATCTTTCATGCAAGGTGTCACCCGACCCCCAGGCGACCCAGGTGACGTCACACAAGAGCGACGCACCACGTGGTCTCCAAAAGCGAGACCACGTCGCCCGACCCCCACCCCCCCCCCCACAGGTGACACTCCCCAAGCGAGCGATGGCGTGGCCGTCCCTCACGCGATTACGTGCACGTATGGCGGCGACGACTTGGCGAGCGCCAACAGCTGCTCCTCGATGGCCCCGATCTTGAGCCGCTGCTGCGGCTCGCGGCGCCAGCAGCCCAGCATGAGCTCGTAGACGAGCGTGGGGCAGGTGCGAGGGCGCTCCAGCACGCGGCCCTGGGTGATGCACTCCACCACCTGCGTGGAGAGGGGAGCGGGGGGCGCGGGGGGCAGTAGCCGAAGGGATTGACTGGGTACCGAGCGATTATCTTGAACGTGCGAACGGCGCTGGGTTCGAATCACCCCCCCGCCCCCATCCCCGGCTAAGATTGCATCGTCGTCGTCATCACCACGTGGCCACGCGCTATCCGTGGATGGGTGACGGATGCGCCAAAGGCGTCGCCATCCCTCGCACTCGACAACCCCTCGTGCTCCTGCACACGAACTGCTCTCATCTCGTTGCTGTAAACCCCCCCCCCCCCTCGGCTGCAGCGGCGCCGGGAAGTGGCGGTGACGTCACCACGGCGCCTGTGCCAGGCGAAGTGCAATTTGAGTCCGTCACGTGAAGTGCGGAAGGCTGGCTGTTGACAGGTCACGGGACAGACCCAGGTGCGATGGGTTGCCTGACTGAGATGACTGGCAGATGCACCACTCTCTCACACTCTCTCTCTCACACTCTCTCTCTCACACTCTCTCTCTCACACTCTCTCTCTCTCACACTCTCTCTCTCACACTCTCTCTCACACTCTCTCTCTCTCACACTCTCTCTCACACTCTCTCTCTCACTCTCTCACTCTCACACTCTCTCTCTCACACTCTCTCTCTCACACTCTCTCTCTCACACTCTCTCTCTCACACTCTCTCTCTCACACTCTCTCTCTCTCACACTCTCTCTCACACTCTCTCTCACACTCTCTCTCTCTCTCTCACACTCTCTCTCTCACTCTCTCACTCTCACACTCTCTCTCTCACACTCTCTCTCTCACACTCTCTCTCTCACACTCTCTCTCTCACACTCTCTCTCACACTCTTTCTCTCACTCTCCGCCCACACGCTCACCTCGTTGTTGGAGAGCTGGTACCAGGGCTGCTTGCCGAAAGTGAAGATCTCCCAGAGCACGACCCCGAGGCTCCACACGTCGCTCTCTGTCGTGAACTTGCGGTACATGATGCTCTCGGGGGGCATCCAACGAATGGGCAGCATCGTGTGGCCCCCGACCTGTGCCCCACGTGCACACGCGCGTGTCACGTGAACCCGGGGGTACAGCACGACGGCTCGCGCACACGCGCTACGCGCGCACGATGGACGGGCAGCGGCTGAAGGCCGGATTGGAACCCCGGATTCTGTCCGTGCCGGCACGGCGCTCGACCTCCGTGCCACCCGCCTGCTAAGTGAACAGATCTGGCCATCAGCGAGTCTGCACCGTGGGGACTGAAGAGCCACTTTGGCACCTGCCGCCGTCCCCACCCCCCACTCCCACATCTCCATCCCACACACAAAGACAAAGATCCCCCGTGTAGCCTGTGGAGGCAAGTGTTGCGAGCGAACAACTACAAGGAGATGGTGTGGCTAACACCACCACCACTGTCTCCCCAGTGCTGATGATGACCGAGACACAGCACCCAAACTGGTTCAGATATTCGTCACCGGTGTTGACTGTGAGTGGGAACTTGAACTCATCTTCTTGGTTCTTTCGGTAAAGTCACGTAGAAGGGAAGTAAGAAAATAATAAAATAAAAAACAATAAAATAATTCTCACGACGTTTCGGCCACAACGCAAGCAGCCGTCCTCAGGTGAAAACCAGGTCCGTCGAGGCGACAGAGTCTGAATGAAACAGCACACGAGCTTGGAGCATATATATATAAGCTGGGCGCCGTGGCAGATCACTGTTACAATTCAGTGGGCTCACATGACATTGACTTCTCCAAGACAGAGGTTCTCTGCAAGCCATCTGGCTATCATGAGAGATTCGTTCATGAGGCGATTCTCACCACTATTGGAAATCATGGCAAAATATCCCAAAGAGGGCAACACCCTCTTTGAAATGGAGTCTTGGGATTCGGTGAGGCTTATTATTATTATTACCAGGCCACTGTGCCTATTACGAGTCTTTTGTTGTTATTGTTGGTGGTGTTGCTGGCGTTGTTCGTGTTGTTGGTGTTGTTGTTGTTGATGTCGTCGTTGCTGTTGTTGTTTTTTGTTGTTGGTGGTGGTGATGTTCTCCCTCTTATTGATTTACTTTTGTATTTTTCTCTCGCTCGTCGAAGAAGCATTAGCGTCAAGTGAGGGGTCGCGACCCCGTGACCCCGACTGCCAAAGGATGACCTCCTCTTGACAAATCAAATCGCAATGAAAGTGACGACCCGCTCGCGCAAGACTGCACGGGCGCCCGGTGAGATAAGCACTCAAAAGCGAGTGGTGGAAATTCTACATTCCCATGGCAGGAGACAAGCCTCAACATTGCACCATGAGAGTTAAATGCTTCCAATGTGGTTGTACTTCTTGTAGGGATTACGATGACAATGATGGCGTTTAAGATTACAATAGCGATGACATTGATCATCATGACAATGATGACTAATAATTTGACAATATTGACCATGACAACAACAACAACAACGATGATGATAATCCTGATGACAATGACGATGATGACAAGGATGACAATGACGATGATGACGACGATCCTGATGATGACAATCTTGATGACGATGATTATCATGACGATGACGATGCTGATGATGAACCTGACGACGATGACAATGATGGCAACGATGGGCGGGGGTCGTACTCGGTAGTAGTCGGTGCTGTAGACGTCGCGGGACATGCCAAAGTCTCCGATCTTGACGAGCAGGCACTCGCCGACGAGGCAGTTGCGCGTGGCGAGGTCGCGGTGCACGAAGTGCTGCGACGCCAGGTAGGCCACGCCGGCCGCCACCTGGCGACCCAGGTGCAGCATCTGGCCCGGGGAGAGGCGCTCGCCCGCCCGCTCCGACAGGAACGCGGCGTCCGGCCCATGAGCCCTGCGTCATCACGGTTATCGTCGCGGTCATCGTCACGGTCATCATCACGATCATCATCACGATCATCATCACGATCATCATGATCAGCTTCAGTATAATGATCATCAGCAGCAGCAGCGTTGTTGTCTTCATCATCAGCATCAACATCATCACCATCACAGTCACAACCAAACATCATCACGATCGTCAGCCACGCAGGGTGTCGTTGAATACAGGGTGTTGAGTGAGGGTGTTGTTGAGCACAGGGTGTTGTTGAGTGCAAGATGTCGTCGAGCGCCGGGCGGCGCGGCAGCGCATGGCGCGGCTCGCCTGAGGAACTTGTTGAGGTCTCCGTGGCGCATGTACTCGAACACCATGCCGAGCGGCTCCCCGTCCACGCACACGCCGTGGAAGCGCACGATGTGCTCGTGCCGCAGGTTCGTCAGCAGCTCCGCCTCGCGCTGGAAGTCCTTCCTCGCCGCGTCGCTGCCGTCCTTCAGGGTCTGCTCGCACACACACACGCACCCTCGTCATCCTCCTCGTCGGCGGCGCCGCCATCCTTTTCGTTATCGTCGTCGTTATAATCATCATTGTCGTCATTAATTTCGTCATTATCATCGTCACCATTGTCATCGTCGCCATAATGTTCGTGATCGTCATCATCATTGTCGTCATCGTTATCGTCATCATCATCAATGTCAGGATCAATCCACTGCTGGATAAAGGATTTTTAAATCAACGACCATCTCTAGCGATGCAACAAAGAGAAAGATCCCTCCGTGTTTGCCTTCAACAGACTCTCGTGGCAAGTGCTGTTAGCGAGCACTTATCACGTGTTAAGAGGGCTGTCCAGTTGCTCTGGTCAAGGCGAGTCGCACGGGAGACTGGTGGACTGATAGACACGGACGACTGGTGGACACGGACGACTGGTAGACACGGACGACTGGTGGACTGGTAGACACGGACGACTGGTGGACTGGTAGACACGGACGAGCAGGAGCAGGGTGACCACGGTGGCCATGCGAGGCAGGGTGAGGTGAGTCGCTAATGGCCATCGGGGCACAGGGACAGCGCCGTCGCGCGCGAGACCCCGCGCTCGAACGCCGGCGCGTGACGTCTCCATTTTTGGAGTCGCTTCTGCTTCGGGTCGTCACGACGCGCGGCACAAATCGAAGGAGAAATAATGGAAGTACAAAGTAACGAGGGGGAGTGTAACAAAAAAACTTTTTTTGAAAAAGTTAATATATTTATATTTTTGGGAGAAGCATTTTTAGGGTTTTTTTTTAAATAAAACGTCGGGTCGGAGCGGCGAGCTCAAGTCGCAGCGAGCCGAGTTCAAGGTCTGCAATTCATTACGGCAGCGGCGGCATCGTCGCGAGAAATCTCTCGGCTCGTCTCGGCAGACCGTGGCTGGTGGGTGGGGGGAGCGCGCGGGTAACGGCACAACAACAACCCGACGCGGCTCAACGTGGGACCGGGGCCGTCCCCAGCTGCCTTCAGAACAATAATAACGTGATTTATTTATCCTGCAAAGCCTCACCGAGCCTCAAGTCTCGAGTATCTCTCTCTCGGGCCTACATTGCCACATTTGTCCGATTCCACTTCGCATCGTTGCCGCCGTTGCTCTGGGAGCGTGCCGCTGTCTCCCGGCCAGCCGCAAAGTGTAATTGCCTCGTTCCACAATTTTTCTTCGAATAAAAAGAGCGGTCACAAAAACAAAACAAAATTCTTGGGGCACAGCCCGAAACGGTTCGGACGCAGAACGCTGTGGAAAGTTTCCGCCACTTCCTCGCGGCACCAGGGGGCAGGGCCTTCGGGAAGGATCCGAGGGAAAACGTAACACCTGCGCCGCCGTTCCGCCGTCAGAGAGAGGCCGAACGGTGGCCGGTTGCGGATCGTTACGGAAACGAAACCGTGGAGCTCGCCCGCTCGCTCGCCCGCCCGCTCCTCGCTGTGCCAGAGGGAGTGCAGAGTCTGCAGGCCACTGTCGGATCGTGGATGGGGCACGGCCGACGGCGGCGATGATGATGATGATGCGTTAACGGCGCTCGCACGGTTTGTTGGGGTGATTTCGGCCACCGACTCAAAAGGGTTGAGAATAATGTGGCCATCCCAACGGGCAGCAGTGAAACAAAGACGGAGCGCGGCGGAGACACGAGGGCGGCCGGGCGTGATGCTGGCAATCGTGCGCCGTGTCGGCCTTCAGAGGCGCTCGCAAACAGCACTTATCCCCGAACAGTCTGTTAAAGGCTATACGGGGGGGATCTGCGTCTTGTATTGCCAAATCTATTTGTTTGCTGGCAGCCCGTGAGCCTTTGTCCTGTTGCGATGGGATTTCACTCCAACGGTAGGCGTAACGCTTTGGCACGGTGTTCGTGTTGGCGCGGTGTGCGTGTTGGCGCGGTGTGCGTGTTGGCGGGGTGATCGTGTTGGCGCGGTGTTCGTGCCGCGGCACCTTGACGGCCACCAGGATGCTCTCCTTCTCAGCGCTCAGGTTGAAGCACTCGGCCAGGAAGACTTTCCCGAAGGCTCCCTCCCCCAGCTCGCTCTTCAGCACGATGTCCCTCCGCGTGATGTGCTGCACGACTGCGGTGGGGGGACACGGAGGGGGGGGGGGCAGGAGAGGAGGGGGTACAGGGGTGGGGGTGGGCACGGGGGGGGGGACGTGGCACGTGTCGGGAGGAGGCAGCGAGGATGTCAACAATACGCTCGGTGACGCACTGCGTTGGCAGTGGTGCCGCGCAAGCTAAGACAAACATAACAGAGATCAACGCGTTCCATGTCTAGAACACTGTGTGTGGCCTTAAAAAGGGAACGTCTATAATCAGCGACGTTTCGGGCAATGGGCCTTCTTCATGGCGCACGTGCTCGTGCACGGCTCGATTCACGCGTGCGCGAACGGTTACTGCCGTCCGAATTTTCATCGCAAAATCGAAACCAACTTCTCCGGTTAGCAGACATCGAAATCAAAAATAGCGAAAGCCATCCCGGCGGAGCAAGACCCTCCTGACAACAAACCTCGAGACTCAGGCGAGGCCTTCCCGGGTAGATCCGTGACATTCGAACCGTGCGTGTTTCCGTGTTTGCGAGCTTGGCAACGTGGCCCACCCACCCGCCTGGTCCCACCGAGGATTCGCCACGCTTGCAATTACGAAATTGGCTCACATGCGTGCGTGCGCGTTTGTGCACGTGTACGTGTAAGCATGGGGAGAGCGGTCGTGTCGTGGTTTGCGTGCTGCACTATGAACCCGAATATCTGAACCGGTCCGGGATCTCCCCTTAGGTCGACTCAGCTTTAAACGAGTACCTCGTGCGTTGTAAACAACACCACTGGGGAGACAAAGGCGGCCGGCCAGCCGGGCGTGGCGTTGGACAACACCGTCCGCCTCGTGCGCCGTGCTGGCCTGTGTTGGGGCTCGCTTATAGCACTTGCCCGCACAGCCTGCATAGGCTATATCGGGGGGGGGGGATCTTTGTCTTTATACCGCACACGCGTGCGTGGGAAAACATCGGCGCTGGCGCGACGAGGGTGGTCGGGCACGACTCTGGCCTCGCCACTTCGCTCCCATGCCGGTGCCAGCCTCAATAGGCGCTCGCAAATTAACGGCGCTGACAGGACACTGAAAACCTTTGGCTTTGATTGTTCGGTTTTTTTTTTGTTTAACGCCAGCCGCTGTTAGTCATAGTTGTGGTCGTTGTTTGTTGCTGTTTTTGTCGAGAAGTCACCCCGCACGATCGCTCGCCACTGACGCCATGAATATTTCATTTTTCGTCTCTCGCGTCTTGCCGCAGGGTACATCAGCAACTCAGAGTGCGGAGAGCGCGTCGGGTGGCTGGTTGGTGGGGAGGGTAGGGGGGGGTGACGGCCGCGTGGAGTATTTTTATCAGCGTTGTTTATGTTGGCGTAGCAAAGTAATGAAATGGTCCTGGCTCTCGTTAATAAAAGTTGATAATTGCATCTCCCAGAGGCTCCGTGCTCTCCCGTGGCTATGCAGCAGAGTCTGGTGGGGGGGGGGGGGGAGTGGGGGGGGGGGTCTCTGCCCCCACCCCTGCACCTAGCGACGACGATTCCATGGGGAAGCTGGGCAAGCAATGGGGGGGACATGCCCCCCAGTTTCCTTCTATGTGCTTGACCCTCTGACCCCCCCCCTTCCCGGTTTTAAATTCGCTCAGCAAACCAACCACCGCCCCTCCGATTGGCACGGTTGGCTATGTACGGTGCGAAAGAAGTCCAGCGTGTTGTACGGACACTGCGATAAGCTCTCTCTTGCCACGACCGCCGGTCAGACTGCTTGGTCACGTGGGTCGGGCTGAGTGGTGGCAGCGATAGAGAAGAGACGTGGACACGGCCAGCATGCTAGAGCGAGCGGTGCCGGGGGCACGGGGACGTGGCGGTGGTTGTGGTGGTGGTGGTGGTTGTGGTGGTGATGGTGGTGAGGGAGGTGGGGAGGGAGGGAGCTCTCACAGGTGTCGCTGGCCTTGAGGAGGGGGTCGGTCTGGCGGAAGTACTGGGGGTTCTCGATGACGGGAATCCGCGTCATGCCGATCACCACCGCGTCCGACGCCCCGTCCAGGGAGAGCGAGCGCGACATCACGGCCTGGCGCGCGCAGACACAGACACAAGGCAAAGATCCTCCGTATAGCCTTCAAGAGACTGTTGGGCCAAGTGCTGTTCGCGAGCACTTATTGAAGGCCGGCACGGCACACGAAGGGGCGGTTGGCCAGCACCACGCCCGGCCGCCTTTGTCTCCGCAGTGACAATGTTTACACACCGCACCAGGTACTCATTTGAGGCTGAGTCGACCTAGGGAAGGCCCAGAACCGGTTCAGATAATCGTCACTGGTGTTGGCCGTGAGCGGAAATCGAACTCGTGTCGCCGGGTTCGTAGAGCAGCGCGCTAATCGCAATGCCACCGCTCCCCACACACACACAGACATACCCACACACACACAGACATACCCACACACACACACACAGACATACCCACACACACATACACACGAAGACATACACACACACAAACGTACACACACACAGCCATACACACACACGCAGACATACACACACATACACACACACAAAGGTACACACACACAGACATACACACACACGCAGACATACACACACACGTACACACACACGTATACACACGCAGACATACACACACAGACATACACACACACGCAGACATACACACACACGTACACACACATACACACGCAGACATACACACACAGACATACACACACACGCAGACATACACACACACGCAGACATACACACACACACACGTACGAGTAGCGTCAACGTGAAGTGGGCCTCACCACCATCTCCTCCGCGGTGTGAACATTCACTCCCTTCCGCCCCCCTGCATCACCACCGCCCCCACCTCCTCGAAACAATTAAGACGCCATCTAAAGAGATGCGGTCACACTTACTCGCTCGCTCCACGAACCCACATCACATCATGCTGGAATTGGCGACAACTCCGCACGGCCCATCGGAACGGGGCTCTCGTTTCGTATCGACGGCGGCTCCCGGGTGAGGTGGTCAACGGAGCACGTGGTCGGCGGGGCGCGGGGTCACGCTGAGGGGTCAGGAGAGTGCGGCTTGGTAAACGAGGGGTCGCTGAGGTGAGCGTTGAGGTGAGGATGTGGGTGAGGAGGTCACTGCTGACCGCAGGGTTCTGTGGTTGCGGTTGACAGGCTTGGCGCTTTGGTGGGGCCATGCCTCGGCCTCTCCAGCACACTCGCTGTGGCCCAGGATGCAGCGTGTTTTTGCCGTGGCTGGATATCGGTGTGGCCTGCCTTCCACGTGGCTGTGACAACAGTTTGGCCATTCGTCGGTGAGGTCACTGCTCAGTGTGGCCAGGACCTACGGTGTGGTCGAACCTGGTGTGGCGGAGCCTCTGTTCGGTTCAACCCTGGGTGTGATACTTGGATTGGGCATCGCTCAGTGGATCCGGCGATCGGCAAAGTTAGCCGGTGGTGTGGTGTGGCCGCCGCCCCGTGTGGCCGGACGGGCGTGCCCTCACCTGCGAAGGGGGGTGGGTGGCGGCGTGCGGAGGAGGAGGGTGGTGGAGGGGACTTGCCGAGTCTTCGTCAGAGAGCATCTTACAGCCGCCTGCATCAGCCACAACAACAGCCACAACAACGTCAACAACAACAACAACCACAGTAGCCACGTCAACAACACCGCCGTCGGTTCGTCGAGGCACGGGAAACATTCGCGGATTGCAAATATAATGAAGGAGAGGAAACCGACATTTTATTCTAGAGGTTAACTTTTAAGGGTTTGCCGCTCGTTGTAGAGGTTCGGTCTCTGATTGCGGCAGGCAGCCCTGGTGAATACCGCCGCGTATTCACCATAAAGCACGCGCCGTGCCGCTCCACAATGAACGTTAAAGATCCCGTGACGTCATTCAAAGGAGGGTAGGCCATGGAGAAAAACAGTCTTGAGACTCGGTGAGACTTTCCTGGGTGAACAACTTTAAACAAAAAGCAGAGGTGCTGAGTTTAGCTGGGCCATCAGCTACTCGTCGATCAGCCCAGGGCTCTCGGTCAAACTAATTTCTCTTTGTTTAACACGTAGGCTTTCGCGACCAATGTTATTCATAATCAACGTTTTTGGGTTTAGATCGCGTTTATTTATAAATGTGTCGTAACCCTCCACCACCCGACACGGCCAATCAGTAAAAATGTGTCACGTTGACAAAGACAAATAGTTCACTGCTTTAGCCCACCGGTGTGTTGAAGCCACAACATTTACAATTTGAGTACGACGTTTCGCTGGTAATTGCCAGAATGGCGAATTGCCCGATGACGCTGGTTGCAATTACCAGCGAAACGTCGTACTCAAATTGTAAATGTTGTGGCTTCAACACACCGGTGGGCTAAAGCAGTGAACTATTTGTCTTTGTCAACGTGACACATTTTTACTGATTGGCCGTGTCGGGTGGTGGAGGGTTACGACACATTTATAAATAAACGCGATCTAAACCCAAAAACGTTGATTATGAATAATTTATCTTTGCTAGACGTGCGGTTATACCATTACGGACGGCCGTTTCTAACACTTCAAAGATACGGACACTCGTTTAATAGAATCATGCAGCGGCTGCTTTGCCTGGGCACACAATGTGTCAACCAATCAGGGCTGTAGCCTTCGGTCAAGAATTACAACGTGGGTGGAGTCGCGTTGCTCTGCGATAATTAAATCAGCTCAGGGGTAAGAGACGCGCGGCCCGCACAGCTGAGACCCTGGGTTTGAAGCTGGGTCTCAGCCGCCAAAACTCAGACTTGCAAACGATGAGAAGACCCATCATAATCACAGAATAATCGTGACAGCCAGAAAAAAAACCCACAAGTTTCAGCCGCCCCTGATTAAGGTCAAGTGTAGCGAGCGAGTTGCTACACAAAAAATGTAACAATCGTAATGCATTTTAATTCTCAATTAATTTGGCAAAGGTCCAGGTCACAGAATAAAAATATCGGTTTGACTGCTGCTGCAGCTGCTGCTGCTTCCGACATGATGAACGTTTCTCTGTCACGGGGAGTGCGCGACGCCCGACGGTACGTCATCTTCATCACGATCCATGGGCAGATATCCCATAGGTGTCCACTGCACATTTCGTCATTTGTTTCCACTTTCCTCTCTGTCTTGTGCCAAGTCGTGCCACATCTCTCTGGCAGCAATCTCTCATGTCGTCGTCAAGTGCACCAGATCGCTTTCGTCTATTTTCTTCACGGGCCGAAGTATCAGCACCCTTTCGCGCGACGGCGCAGCACCCGCCGCCAATCGATGAAAACGAGGTCCCTTCAAGGAACCTCCAGAAGTTGTTCCATGATAGCCGCTTCCGCGAGCAGTACTCCTAACGCGAGGGTGGGGGGGGGAGTTGTGCCCCCCCCCCCACCGGCTCGCTGCGACAGTCCCCATGGGAACGCTTCACCTCGTGGCGCCGAATCGCGCTGTCGGAATAAAACCGGTTGGAAAGAGGCACGGAAATCAACGAAGCGAGCACTTGGGCTCCATGAATTCCGTGTTTTAAAAATAAATATTCCATCAGGGCCGGCCGCCACCCTCCCACCCACCCCGAAGCGCTCCGCCGAGCCCCACGCGGCCGTGCGGATGAAGTCGCGCGAGTTGATCCGAGGAGCCGGCGGCTCCGTAACGAGCCCCGGCGGCAGGAATGTGCTGAAGTGGAGGTTATTTATTTGCGCAGATGACATCTCGTGAAAATTTGGGGGGGGAGGAGAATAGGGGAGCCGGTCGACAGAAACGCAAGACACTTCTTGGAACAAATCTGCCCCCCCTCCCACACCCCACCACCTCCACTTGCTTATCCCTCCGCTCCGTTCAGTTGGAACTCAAAACGAGTCCGGCGCAAGGAAACCGGTTCAGCGGGCAGCCCATCAAGGCCGCCATCGCAAGAGCTCGTGGGGTTGGTAAGAGGGCCACGCTCGCCATGACGCCCGCGTTGGTGTTGGCCACACAACCTGTGCCTGGGTTACGTTTTTAAGACCGAGTTGACCTAGGGGACGCCCACAATCGGGTCAGATGTCACTCGCCGCTGCTTGTTAACTGCGTCCGAGCATTGAATTAAACGTCGCTAAAGTATGTGTACTGTACCCATACAAAGACCCCCCGTGTCGCCTTTACAGACTAATGGGGCAAGTGCTGTTAGCAAGTACCTATGAAAACCGGCACGGCACATGAGGGGGTGGGTGGCCAACACCACTCAAGGCCGCCTTTGTCTCCCCCCGTGCTTAGGTTTACACACCATACCTCGTGTTTATTTGTGAGGCTGAGTCGACCTAGGGGAGGCACAGGACCGATTCAGATAATCGTCAATGGTGTTGGTGGCCGTGAGCGCCAATGGAACTGGGGTCGCGAACCGCTACAGCACCGCTCCCTCCACGCTCACACAGGGGCACACACAGACACGCGCGTGCGTGTCTGTGAACCCAGCCACCATTCTCCTTGACTCCAGAACAACCGGACGGAGAAAGGCGGGGTGGGAGGAGGGGTGGGGGCCGGGGGAGGGGTGGGGGGGGGACAGGGGGAGGGGTTGGGGGGGGACCTCCAGCTCCAAGCGGGAGACAGAAACTCGTCCAAGCAATAAGGGACCGATGGTCGGGCTAAGTGCAACAACGGCAGGACAAGCTTCCCCGACATAATACAAAAAAAAAAATCTCAAATAATTTTAAAAAGAAGGCGAACAAGAGGGGCGACGTTCGCGGTGGTAATCCGGAAGGGGGCCCGCCGAGGCGTGGTGGCGTCCCCACGTGCCATCGATCGCCCCGCGGAGGGCGCGGTGACCTCCTTCGCTTCCCCCTCGCGGCGCACGCTCGCCCCCTTCGATCGCCGCTCGACTCGCTCTCTTCCAGGAGAGCTCCCCCGCCGACAAGCGTCGTCGACGCGTTGGGTCCGCATGTTTGTCTGTCTCTACCTGGACAAGTTGAATCCATGTCTGGGGCGTGGAGCGACAGCAGCAATGGTAAAGATCTCGATTTGAAGCTTTCGTGACTGCAGGAAACCATTCTCTCTGGTTCTTTCGGTAAAGTCACGTAGGTAGAAAGAATAATAAAAGAAACACGACGCTTCGGTCGCAACACAAGCGTCACCTGATGACGTCGTGTTTATGTTATTATTATTTTCTATCTACTTTACATTACCGAAAGAACCAGAGAGAATGGTAAAGATGGTCAAATGCGAATGAAAGTTTAGCAGAGTCGCGTTTGTCGCCACGGAGTCACCCGAGGGAGAAATCCAGCCACACTGATCAGAGCGTTGGCCCAAACTTGGGAGAAGAATAAAATAAAACCAGCGCTAAAATTATTGACCCCGTGTCATGCAATCTCGTTGCGCGGCTCCGAACGAAATTCTATTATCGCTCATTCATTGTTCCCCGGAAACAAACGCGCGGTGGGAGGCATGACAGAATCCATCATGCGTCTGCATGATTGTTCATCCTTGTGTGTGTTTTTTTTTTAAATAGCGCCTCATTTGTAAGTTAGACCTGGGCCACCTAAAGTAGCATATCTGACCTCTGAGTCACCCGGAACACGTATTTATCCCAAATGTAATTTTCGTAATGACGACGACATTATCCCGCTGTGTGATGCGGCGGTTAGAGCACAAAACACGCAGTTGGATATGTTGCGAGTTCAAATCTTGGTCGGAGGTCACCTCAGGGCATTATGATCATCACGATCATCATCACCATCTCTCAGTTGTCGATGAAATAACTACTCATTTGTGGAGAGTCAGCCGTAGATATGATCTATAGCCACAATTCAAGACGAGTCCAACTTGCGATTGGTCTCGACGTGACCGCGCCTCTCTCAATGTGACTCGAGACGCAGTGTAAACATTATTTTTTACCCAACAGCTTTGCCAATAACACTGCGGCCTTAAAGAAGAAGAAAAAACATTTAATGAGGGCGACGTTTCTGGCAATGGCCCTTCTTCAGAGCACGTCGAGAACAAGAGCCACTGGCCAAAAAGTCGCCTGTTGTATATTTTTCCCTTTAATGCCACACACACGCACACGACGGATGTGTGGAGTTGTTGGTGGTGGTGGTGTTCGTGCACCACTGCCAACGCAACGGAAGCAGCAGCAGTATCAACGTTGCCAAATGAATACGTTTGTGTAAGAGTGAAGATGTTACGCACCGTTAGATCGGAGGGAAGAGGAGGGATTATTTTTGCCGAAGGTAGAATGGAAAGTGCCAGGGAGGGGGATTGGTCAGGGCTTCATCCCGATTAAGACTCATCAGCGAATGCGGGGCGGTGAGTGTTGGTTCATTTTGAAACTGAGTTGCGTGGTCCTGGCCACGGAAGTGAGTGTGCACGTGGCAGTACGTGTACAGCCCCTTTGTCAATCCACTGCAGGATGAGGGCCTCTCCGCGCCATACGGGCCGTGGGGGTTATTTGACCATACTTCACCACGCTGGTTGGTGCGGATAGGTGATGTGCGCAGCGTATCCACGGGAGCATAGGGATACAGTACAGCAACATATTTTACTCCACTATCATTTGCTGCCCACCACGTAGCATACAACACATGTTATGCCTGGCGGTCACCCATCCGAGTACTGTCCAGGCTCACCCTTCGTTTAAC